AGTGGTTAAGTTGTATTTACAACACTGTTCCAGAACACTTCAACCCAAATATTCAGATGTGTGCAGCACATTTTATGGAGGACCGTTTCCTGATCCTGGTAGAGTAGACTACAGTGCCGGCTGTCAGACTGTAAGTACGTTTTTTATATTTAAAGAGTTTTTATATTTTATATTTTTTATATTTAAAGCAAGTTTTTTGGGCAGTGTAGAGTAGCGCTTGTTGTTTGTCATTTCTCCGATCACAAATGCAGACATGGTTTTATGTTTACGCGGCGCGATGCAACGCAACGCGTAAAAAGACAGTATAAGTCATTATAATCCATAATTATGTCCCCACTGGATGCAACGAATGCCTCATTTATAATGGGTTTTCATGTTTTTGAATCATCACATCGGCCGGACAGGGCATCATCACAGTATGGTAGGGGCGTAACATTTCCGTCACACGCTTGAGGTATTCGGCCAATCATAATGCACTGGATAGCTGGCCAATAACAGCACACCTTGCTTTTTAGACCTATGAGCTTTGTAAAAATCTACGCGTTTCAGAAAGGCGGGGCATAGAGGAGAAACAATAATGTGGTAGGCCAGTTTCAAATCGCATATTTGGCACACTGCCTTTTGTCTTGTCCTCACTTAATTTAAAGTGCTCCCACACAGCTGAGGTCTTTGGCATTTTTGTCTTCTCTTCCAGATGAACTGAATCATGACGTTCATGATGTTCACTCATGGGCGATTCATATTCAAGCGCGAATGAGAACCGTTTTGCGGGGGATGCCAGGTGTTCGAAAAAAAGAAAGAAAAGAATATTCGAATCTCAAAATTGAAAATCGAATGCCAACCCACCGAACGAATATTCGAGTAATCGAATATTCTGTCCCAGCCCTAGTAGTTTTTTATCTTTTTTATATATTTTTAGGAATAAAGGTTTATACAAGTTGTCTTTGTAGTCACTTAGTACTGTATATATAGACAGTTAGTGTGTCTTGGTTTGAATTTGCATGGGTGAGGATCAGACTGTCATTCTTATTGTTTCCTTTTACAGAATGACTTGCCAACTTGCATATAATTCTATTGACCCACCAAAGCCAATTTTGGACAAAAGTTAATTTTGGCCGGCAATGATATAAATGTATAATCTTATCATTTAATATAGTCATGCCAACTTAATATAAGGTTTAACACTCTTGTGTCCACAGCTAACAAGGCAGGTTCCTCTTCCTCCAGTCCTGGACCATCTTCAGCCAAACCCACTCAGGGTAGCTCTTTATCAGCTCATCTATGTGACCCCAACCATAAAGACTGTTTACTGCGGGAGTTCCGCAAACTTTGTGCCTTAGTCGCAGAGAAGTCCAGCTATAACGCAAAGACAGAGATCATCAGAGACTTCTTAACGAAAGGCTCTGGTGGAGGTGAGCATGGAAAATATGGGCCAACATTAACACCAATAGCTTAAAAAGTGATTTCAAAAGACATCTTTTTTTTTCTCTGTTAATCTCCTTCCCACATCTTCACAGACAAATTCTGCGGAGATTTGTACCTGACAGTAAAGCTTCTCCTCCCAGGAGTGGTTAAGAATGTCTACAACCTCAGTGACAAACAGATTGTCAAGCTTTTCAGCCGCATATTGAATTGCAGTCAGGATGAGATGGTGCAAGACTTGGAACAGGTTTGTTTCTTTTTCAAAGTATGCCAGTTCTTTTGAGAAATATTTGACCTTTTTCTTCATTGATCTTTATCGGCTTCATAAAGGGAGATGTTTCAGAGACGGTGCGGATATTTTTCGAGCAGAGCAAGTCTTTCCCTCTAGCAGCCAAGAGTCTTCTGACTATCCAAGAGGTGGATGCTTCACTGAGCCGTCTATCCCAACTCACAAAGGAGGATGATCAGCAGGCAGAGCTGCAGGACATTGCTAAAAAGTAAGATATAAATCATATTTACAGTTTGATTTTATAAAATTCACTTTGAAAAAAAAAAAGTGTTTTCCATTTGTTTGAAATTTAAGAAGAGCTTAACTTGTGTTTCTTGATTCCCAGATGCACCGGAAATGATCTGAAGTGTTACATTCGTTTGGTCAAGCATGATCTGAAAATCAACTCTGGGGCTAAACATGTGTAAGTGACTCTAGCAAATAGTACCTAAAGGCATTGTGTTTATTCTGACTTATTCAGTGTGACTTTTCTCTTATCAGTTTGGATGCTGTGGACCCCAACGCCTATTATGCCTTCAAAGCCTCCCGTAACCTTGGTGACGTAATTTACCGGGTGCTACGGAACCAGCAGGATACTTTTAATGGAACAGGGCCCAGAAAGATCCTCAGCGTGGAGGCGTCTCTGATGACCCCCGTACAGCCAATGCTGGTCTGAATCGCTATTGCTCTTAAATGGATAGTTCACCCAAAAATGAAAGTTCTGTCATTTACTCATCCTCATGTTGTTCCAAACCTGTATGAATTACTTTGTTGAACATAAAAGAGGATATTTTGAAAAATGTTGGTAACCAAACAATTTTGGTGACCATTGTAAGGACAGAAAAATACCTGAGATATTTCTCAAAATATCTCCACAGAAGAAAGTCACACAGGTTTGGAATGGCATGATGACAATTTCAATTTTTGAAAGTTACAAATTAAGAATGTGCAAAATTACATAAATTGGACTAGTCTGTAGATTCTAGGATATTAATAAAGTTATTGTCAAATATTTTTTCTAAGAAACATTAAAAGATGAATAAAATACTTTAATGTTTTCTTAAAAATTGTATCAATTGCTTGATTGAATTTGTTTTTGATTTTGTAGGCAGAAGCATGTAAGTCCATTGAGTATGCCATGAAGAAGTGTCCTAATGGGATGTATTCTGAGATCAAGTATGATGGTGAGCGTGTGCAGGTCCATAAGAACGGCAATCACTTCAGTTACTTCAGTCGAAGTCTCAAACCAGTACTCCCACACAAGGTCAGGACCTCCAGTCGGTTAGCTTTTCAAATCGAATGCCATGGGATATGTTTATATACATGTTTAAAACCATTCAAATCTATGTTAAAGAGTTTGATTTTCTCCCACAGGTCGCACATTTTAAAGATTTCATACCGCAGGCATTTCCTGGTGGCCATAGCATGATCCTTGATGCTGAAGTTCTTCTTATTGATACAAAGACTAGCAAACCGCTGCCTTTTGGGACTCTTGGAGTACACAAGGTAAACCAGAAAGCAATATGTTTTTGAGGTTCTGTAACAGATTAGTTAAATATATCTAAACTGGCATTATTTACTCATTCTCATGTAATTTCAAACTTGACTTTCATTCATCTGTGAATGGATGCTGTTTAAAAAAAAGTCACAAATGAATCCATGTAGACTCAGGCACTACACTACTGTTCAAAATGTTTGGGATATGTAAGATTTTTTAAAATAGTTTTTGATAGAAGTCTTGTATGCTCACCCAGGCTGAATGTATTTGATTAAAATTGAAGTAAAACACTAATATGGTCAAATATTATTGTAATTAATTCAAGTAACTGGTGTCTATTTTAATATGTTTTAAAATGTAATTTATTCCTGTGATGGCAAAGCTGAATTTTCAGTGTCATTACTTCAGTCTTCAGTGTCACATGATCCTTCAGAATTATCATTATCAATGAAAAAAAACAGCTGCTTAACTCCTTATTTATTAAAATATTTATATTAAAATTTAAAAATATTTATTTATTATCAGCATTTCATTTTATATTGATACATTTGTTCAGGATTTTTTTTTTTTGATGACTAGAAAGAACAGTATTTGTTTGAAATAGAAATCTTTTGTAAAATTATAAGTGTCTTTACTTTTACTTTGATCAATTTAAAGCGTCATATGATGCGATTTTCAATTTTTCCTTTCTCTTTGGAGTGTTACAAGCTCTTGGTGCATAAAGAAGATCTGTAAAGTTGCAAAGACTAAAGTCTCAAATCCAAAGAGATATTCTTTATAAAAGTTAAGAGTTAACCACGCC